CCGCCCCTACTGCCACTGCCCCCGGTTCCCCCCCCCGTTCGGGTCCCCGCGTCTCACCAGGTTGCTTCGTCCCCCCAGGTGTCTATGTCGTGTCAGGTTCCTACGTCTGCTCCAGTCGCTGCGTCGTGCTCCTGCTGGTCGCTTGCCCACCCCACCGTTCTGTGGCACCACCGGATGGGGCACCCGTCCCTTCCTCGTCTGCGCGCTATGTCTAGTCAGCGTCTTGTCCTAGGCCTCCCACGTGTCTTGCCGTTGCTGCCGCCTTCGCTTGCGCCGCCGTGTGGTCCCTGCGTCGAGGGTCGGCTGCGCGCCGCCCCTCACTCCTCCTCCCTTCGTCCGGCCACCGAGCCTTTTGAGACGCTTCACTTGGACGTCTGGGGCCCCGCCCCTCGTCTAGGCCCTGAGCGTGAGCGCTACTTTCTGGTGGTCGTTGACGACTTCTCCCGCTACACCACAGTGTTCCCTCTGGCGAAGAAGTCTGAGGTGACTTCTACGCTGATCAGGTGGTTGCTCACCACCGAGGACACTCGTGGTCGTCGTGTCAGCTGCCTCCACTCCGACCGTGGGGGTGAGTTTCGCTCCGGCATTCTCGCTGGATTCTGTCGCGAGCAGGGCATTCGTCAGTCCTGGACGCTTCCAGAGTCCCCACAGCAGAATGGGGTTGCTGAGCGCCGCATAGGCCTGGTCATGGAGATCGCCCGCACCTCCCTGACTCACGCCTGTGCCCCCCATTTTCTGTGGCCCTACGCGGTCAGGTACGCCGCGCACCAGCTGAACCTCTGGCCACGTGTCTCTCGACCAGAGGTTTCACCGACCAGTCTTTGGACAGGGTCCCCTGGTGTTGCGTCGCGGTTTCGTGTCTGGGGGTGCTTGGCTCTTGTCCGCGACACCTCCGCGGACAAGCTCTCGCCTCGTGCCGTCCCCTGTGTCTTCCTTGGTTTCCCTGAGGACTCCTCTGACTTCACCTTTTACCACCCTCCCTCTCACCGGTTCTTTGACTCCCGTGACGTCCGTTTCGAGGAGTCCACTCCGTACTACGTCAGGTACCCCAGTCGAGGTCTCCAGGTTCCTCCTCCCCCCCTCTTCCTGACTGCCGCTCCCCCTCCTGTTCCCCCGGTACAGCCTCCCCCCCCCTGGTCCAGCCCCGTCGGGTGTGTCCCAGGCTACCCCTCCTCCTTCGGTAGCCTCTCCGGTACAGCCTCCCTCCCCACAGTCCTCCTCGCAGCGTGCCGCAGGTGCTAGCTCTCGAGAGGTTGGTGCTGCGCCTGTTCCTGTACCGGTTTCTGGTTCTGGGGGTGGTGGAGTTGGAGCTGGAGTTGGAGCTGGAGTTGGAGCTGGAGTTGGAGCTGGAGTTGGCACTGGAGTTTCTGGTTTTGGGGGTGCTGGGGTTGGAGCTGGAGTTGGAGCTGGAGTTTCTGGTTCTGGAGTTGGAGCTGACCCGGTGGGTGCAGAGGACTCTTGTCGTCCGGGAGCTGGTGCTGGTCGCGCGGACACTGGGGGTGAGAGCGCGCCTCCTTCGGGTTCTGGTGAGCCTGGGTCTGGAGCTGGTGTTAGTGCTGCCTCTGGGGGTGGTGCGCCTGGTCCTTCGGGGGTGGACTCTGGAGCTACCGCTGCTTCGGACACTACTCCGCCCCCCCACCCCTACCCGACTAGGCACCAGGCTCGTGTTCGCCGTGCCCGTGACGAGCAGCTGGCGTTGGAGAGAGAGGAGAGGGAGTTACAGCGGCTGGAGGAGCAGCAGCAGCAGCTGGAGCCGCAGGAGCAGCAGCAGCAGCACCAGCAGCAGCAGCAGCAGCTGGACCCGCAGGAGCAGCAGTCCCAGCAGCAGCCGCTTCCGCAGCAGCAGCAGCAGCAGCAGCAGCAGCCACTTCCTCCTCCTGTCTCGGGTCTTCGGACCCTTGGTCTCCCCTCCCCTTCTCCTCCCTCCTCCGCCTCTCCTCCTGTCTACGGTCCCACGTTTCCTCCTCCTGACTCCTCCCCCGCTGTTTTCCCCAGGTCTCCGCCTTTGTCCTCTCCTCCTCCGTCTCGTTCTTGGGCTACTCGTCGCTCCCCTCGTGCTCGTCCCTCGTCTCCTGTTCCCTTCACTGACCTTCGTACTGCCTTCCTTCTTTCTAGTCCACCTCGTCCGTCTCAGTCTGTGCTTCCGTCTCCTCCTGAGTCGGCCCTCACTGTGTCGCTCCCTACTCCTGTCACTGACTACTACCGCACGTATCGTCCTGTTCTCTCTCGTGTTCTTGCCTCTCTTGTTACTCACCCTCGTGCCTCTGTGTCCTCTGTGTCCGCTCTTACTGCCGCAGTTACTGACTTTGCCTCTGCCCGCCGCCTTGACTACGCCACCACGCTTGTGGCTGCTCCTCCTACCAGTCCTCTGGCCGTCGGGGGTGTGTCTGCCCTTGGCTGTGACGCCCTAGAGGACAGGCAGTTTGAGCTAGAGTTCCTGGCGGCCGCTTCCCCTCATCTCTGTGCCATGCTCCTCGCCCCTGAGGGTGACCCCGACGCCCTTGACATTCCGACTCCTCGCACTTACGCTGAGGCAGTGTCAGGGCCTTGGGCCTCTCAGTGGAGAGCTGCCATGGACGCAGAGATGGCCTCCTACAGATCCACAGGCACCTACGTCGATGAGGTTCCCCCCCCTGGGGCGAACGTAGTCGACGGCATGTGGATCTACAGGGTGAAGCGGCCACCGGGATCTCCCCCGGTCTTCAAGGCGCGCTACGTGGCTAGAGGTTTTAGTCAGCGCGAGGGAGTTGACTTCTTTCAGACCTTCGCACCTACCCCGAAGATGACCACTCTTCGGGTGTTACTACACGTAGCAGCACAGAGAGACTACGAGTTACACTCTCTCGACTTCTCCACTGCTTTCCTTCAGGGCAGCCTACACGAGGAGGTCCGGTTGCGTCGTCCCTCGGCCTTCACTGGCACCTTCCCTCCTGGGACCCAGTGGAGGCTGAGGCGACCTGTTTACGGTCTTTGCCAGGCCCCTCGTGAGTGGCACGACACTCTGCGTTCTACCCTCTCTGACCTTGGGTTCCAGCCGTCTTCTGCCGACCCGTCGCTGTTCGTTCGTCGTGGCTCCACACCGTTCTTTGTTCTGGTTTACGTCGACGACCTCGTTTTCGCCACTCCGGACAGGGTTGCTTTGGCAGACGTGAAGTCCGAACTGCAGAAGAGACACACGTGCACTGATCTTGGTGAGCTGCGCCACTACCTTGGCCTGCAGATCACCAGGGACAGAGCCGCTCGCACCATTACACTCTCACAGTCACACATGGTGCAGCAGGTCCTTCAGCGGTTCGGGCTTCAGCACTCCACCGTACAGCGCACACCTCTCGCTGTTGACCACAGACTCACTGGTCCCTTTCCTGACGAGCCGTTTGAGCCTAGTGGTCCCTACGCAGAGCTTGTGGGTTGCCTCATGTACCTGATGACTTGTACTCGCCCGGACCTCGCCTTCCCTCTCAGCATCCTTGCGCGCTTTGTTGCGCCAGGGAGACACCGTCCTGTTCACTGGACGGCAGCTGTGAGGGTGGCGAAGTACCTAGCGACTACATCAGGCGTGGGGCTAGTTCTTGGAGGGCAGCAGTCTGTCGTACTCACTGGTCACTGTGACTCCTCTTACGCTGACGACGCTGAGACTCACAGGTCTACTCAGGGATACTGTTTCAGTCTGGGTTCTGGAGCTGTTTCCTGGCGTTCCACGCGCTCCTCTTCTGTCTCGACCTCTACAGCTGAGGCTGAGATTTACGCTGGTGCCATGGCGGCACAGGAGTTGCGTTGGTTGACCTTCTTGCTCGCCGACCTTGGTGAGCGGCCGAGCTCTGCACCGACCTTGTTCACTGACAACAAGGCGTCGATCCTCCTCTGTCGTGAGCCGCGACTGGAGAGCAGAGTGAAGCACATTCACGTCAGGTACTTTCTTCTGCGAGAGTTGCAGAGACGTGGACAGGCTCGCTTCGAGTTTGTGGAGTCCGAGGCCAACACTGCAGACATCTTCACCAAGGCGCTTCCGCCTCGTGACCACCAGAGGTGTTGTGTGCAGTTAGGCCTTGTTGACAAAGGTTCTAGTCATGTGTAGGCTTGAGTTTATTGCCTGTTTCGTCTGTACTCTTTCTATATATACTTGTGATCTCTTGGACTGGCCTTGTGGCCACTGTTGCTTGTGCTCAGAGAGTGTGGTGACGTTGTGATCCACCCTGAGCTTTGTTTTCTTTTGGACTGGTCTTGTGACCGTACTCTTTTTTTTATTTTGCTAGACACCCCTCACTTAGGCTATGGGGGTGTGTCAAATGTTGTAGCATGTAGTGAGGTTTGTCTTAGGGGGTACAGAAGTTAGGGTTTGTTATATGTACCCCAACCAACATCAATGGCATCATCATTCCTCATTTTGACAGAAGCATGGTCTTGCAACAGCCACTTGAGTCTTGACCATTGATTCCAGTTTTTATGATTTGAAGGCCATGTGTACTTGAAGAACGAGCCAGTACGTATGTGCATTTCCCTTGCTGGCTGTTCCAGTTACACAGCCTCCACCCACTGACTCGTTCCGTTCCGACCACTACTCAAAATGGCTGCCTCTCATCAAATAGAACGTTCAGTCCACAGCCGCACCGCACACGAACATACCACAAACACACACACACACACACACACACACACACACACACACACACACACACAAACACACACACACACACACACACACACACTCACACACACACACACACACACACACACACACACACACACACACACACACACACACACACACACACACACACACACACACACACACACACACACGCGCGCGCACACGCATGCACGCACGCACACACGCAGCCACTAGTCTGTACAGTACCACGAGTCAAGTGAGTGAGACTGAGTGATAGAATTGCTCTTATGCCGCACCTTTGGTTTGGGGCATTGAACGTTACCCTGCAGATGCTTTTAGCGATGGTAGCTTACAAGTATACCGTACGTACGAAGCTCCTGGAACATTGCCATTAGACAGACAAAAAGCCAGCGTAAAGGCGGCCATTCGTGCACTTGAGCTCATATATCAGCCTACTCCACCTGCTACCAACATCCCCAACAAAATAATCACTCTCAGACGCAACAAGCAGGTCGGCTAAAGCCGCACCCACGGAATCGTAGTGTGCCGGAGAGGAAGAGGGGCCGGAGGGCGGCTTGGGATAGAGGAAGGTCCAGTCGGCGAAGCGAGAGAGGTGGTTGGATGACAGCTTCATGGTTGCTGTTTGGTCGGTGGAGAGCCAGACGAATTTGAGGCCTGGTTCCCGTCTTCTCAGCTGGTAAGACAGCAGCAGAGCGGATACAAGCGGCACTGACAGTTGTGATGCATTGCTGCTACTGCCGCTACTTCTGCCACTCTCTGCTTTCGTACTATTACCCCCTTCCTTTCCCTCCTGCCCCTCCTGCCTCTCCTGCCCTTGCTGTTGCTCCTGTCCCTGCTCCCCCTGCTCCCCTTGCTCCCCCTGTCCCCCCTGCTGCCCCTCCTCTGCCACGTGTATGCTCACGATTGGCCGCAGCAGGTACGCCTCTCTCCCCACGCTCTGATACACCGTCAGCGGCGACAAATTCTCGACCGCTTTACCCCGATTTCTCCGGGGCAAACACCCAGAAAACCCCAAGCTTGGCCACGCGTCCGTCTCCAGATTCCGGTGCGCGGAAAGATTCAATCTCTTGAGCATTTTACCCTCCCTGCGAAGGTTGAGCCCCAGGCCCTGGTCCGCCTCGGACTTGGGCTTTAAGAGGGAGGTCACGATGGCGCGCTGCTCGGCAAGAAAGGCGGAGGAGAGGGAGGCGATGTGCGGGCCGAGAGCAGAGCTGCGGTGGCGGTTGAGGCCGTGGCAGAGGGAGGGGGAGGGCCAGCGCAGGAGGAAGCGGAGAGCCTGGGCAGTCCACCAGTGCACCTGAAGAGGACACAGAAAGACGGAGCAGAAAATGGAGGAAGAAACACAGAGCTTGGGGTCCACCAGTGGGCTAAAGGAAGGTGCCAGGTGGGGAGAGGGTGTGCGTGTGACATGGGTGTGGGCGGGTTGCAGAGGGAGGAGCAGAGGGAGGCGATGTGCCGGCCGAGGGCAGAGCTGCTGTGGCGGTTGAGGCCGTGGTAGAGGGAGGGGGAGGGCCAGCGCAGGAGGAAGCGGAGAGCCTGGGCAGCCCACCAGTGCGCCTGAGGGAGAGAGGGGGGTGAGGGAAGGGGGGGAGAGGAAGGAGCAGAGCTGCGGTGGTGGCTGAGGGTGCGGCAGGAGGGGGAGGGCCAGCGCAGGAGGAAGCGCAGAGCCTGGGAGTGCCACCAATGCGCCTGAGGGAATGAGGAGGGGGTGAGAGGGGAGTGAGGGGGGAGTGAGGGGAGAGTGAGGGGAGAGGGAGGGAGGTGATGGGGTGGGCGGGGGAGAAAGTGCAGAGAATAAGCGTTGGCACGGGCATGGGCATGGGCATGGTCATGGGCACAGGCATGGGCCGGGAACGGCAAGGGTGGGGCCAGAACCTGCAGTTGTGTGTGTGAGACGTTGAGAAGCGCCCCTTGACGCTCCACCAGGAAAGGCCGGCGCATGTATGCCTCGCTCCATGCTCTCTCACTGCTCATGCACGAGGGAAGGAGGGATGAGGTATGCCCAGGCAGGGGGAGGGACGTATGGCAGGGGTAAGTGGGGAGGAAGCAGCGGCAGGGAGAGGAAGCGAGAGCGTGGGCAACAGTGGGAGATGGACGAGAGGGAGGAGATAAGAGGAGAGAGAGGAGATAAGAGGAGAGGGAAGAGATAAGAGGACAGGGAGGAAACGAAATTACAGCTTAAATGCAACACTTCAGACCTACTGCCGAAATGACTGCAGGACTGAAGTTACACGAATCAAGAAGAGAACACTCAAGGCAAATGGAGACATTTAGTGAAACAGGGGTACGAACAAAACAAAAAAAACATGGCTGCTGCACAAATAAAAAGCATTTGGTAGAGCAGAGCACCTGGAAGCATTTGCTGAGGCAACTTTTGAGACGTCTCAAAACACGAATAGAAAGCATTTGGTGGCGCAGAGCACCTGGAAGCATTTGCTGAGGCAGTGTACGAGGCATCACTGGACGAACCTGGAAGCATTTGTTGAATCAGGGTACGAGGCATCAGTGCTTGCCACGACACAGATGAGAGTCTCGTTTGACCCCAGCTGCTGCGCTGTGAGGTGCGAGAGAGGCTTGCAGGGAGGAGCGCCGGCAGTGGTGTAATGCTGCATGGCTGCTGCCTCACATGCTTGGGAGACTGGGCGGAAGAAGTAGCAGTGGAGCGATCCCGATGCATTCAGTGCTGGTGAGAGACAGACAGGGAGAGAGAGAGAGAGGGGGGGAGAGAGGGAGTGTTTTGAGTCGACTCAAAACACGACTGGGCGGAAGAAGTAGCAGTGGAGTGATCCCGATGCATTGAGTGCTGGTGAGAGAGACAGACAGGGAGAGTGAGGGGGAGGGTGCAAGGTGAACTATTCAGGCATGGAAGGCCTCTTGGCACGGACGTTAGTGAGTGACACGGATGCATGTGTGGTGCTGGACAGAGGGAGGAGAGGAGAGGAGTGGGATACAGGGTGACTTTTGAGTCGACTCAAATGTCACCTTGAAAGGCCTCGTGACACGAACGTTAGTGAGTAACACAGATGCATGTGTGGTGCTGGACAGAGGGAGGAGAGGAGTGAGATACGGAGACACAGGAGGAGGGAAACTGGTAGCTGTGTATCGAAGCATACGGAGTATCGCTGCTGCTTTGGAATGCAGGGAAGGGGAAGAAGCAGCATTGCATGGACGATGCAGTGCGGGATGGGGGCGGCGCAGAACACACATATACAAGGCCAGACGGACCTTAAGAGCTCTCGTCTCGCCAAAGAGAAGCAAAGGACGGGAGGGAAGGGGAGTGAGCAGGGAGAGGCACCTTGGCAGTGCGGGTGGCGGGCTGGCTGGAAGGTGCCTGACATGGGCACGAGCACACGGCCACTGGTGACGGCCACACGTAGCGCCTTTTGAGTCGACTCAGATGTCACCTCACCTTGGCAGTGCGGGTGGCGGGCTGGCTGGAAGGTGCCTGGCATGGGCACGAGCACACGACCATTGGTGAAGGCCACACGTAGCGCCACACTCATGCCCTGCAGCTGCCCTGTTTAGGGGGGGGGGGGGATTCTTGGCTCATATTAGACACGAGTGTTGCTCAGGGCAGGCAGCACTTGAGAAATAGACACCTGAGCGACAGGATCAACAGATGCACCACGCCCATGCCATGCAGGTGACTGACCTGCCAAGGACTCGTGGGACCAACCCCTGCCACTACTCCCCTCGCTGCTGCTGTTGCTGCTACTGCCGGTGGTGGTGCTGCTGCTGTTGCTAGTGCTCTTTGTGTCCTCCGGCCATTGTACCAGCAGAAACCTCTTCCCCTCACAAGCTGCAGCAGCAGCTGTTGCGGCATCATCCGTAGCAGCAGCAGCAGCAGCAGCAGCAGCAGCGCCATCACCAGCCGAAGCAGGAGCAGCAGCGTGAGGAGGCAGCGGGGAGGGAGGGGGGAACTGGTGCGCCCAGATGTCTCTCTGGGCCACTCGAGTGGAGGCCAGGTTCGATGAATCTGACCCTCGCACCTGATAATGGCGGCATGGCGGGGTGGTAGGGCATGGGATTGACATGATGTGTTGGCATCAGGTGTTGGCATTAGGTGTTGGCATTAGGTGTTGGCATTAGGTGTTGGCATTAGGTGTTGGTGTTGGCATTAGGTGTTGGAATTAGGTGTTGGCATTAGGTGTTGGCATTAGGTGTTGGCATTAGGTGTTGGCATTAGGTGTTGGCATTAGGTGTTGGCATTAGGTGTTGGCATGGCATTAGGTGTTGGCATTAGGTGTTGGCATGGCATTAGGTGTTGGCATTAGGTGTTGGCATTAGGTGTTGGCATTAGGTGTTGGCATTAGGTGTTGGCATTAGGTGTTGGCATTAGGTGTTGGCATTAGGTGTTGGCATTAGGTGTTGAAATGTAATCTTGGCGACTACTGAATTTCTAAACATTCTTACACCCTCACCCTCCCCTGCGTGCACTCACCCAGGGCGGTTGGGGGACATTTCCGCATGCAGCATTATCCTGCGCCCATGGGGGGAGAGCTCCGCCCTCCCCCCTGCGCTCAGCAGCCTGGCGGATGGCTGTGCGCGAGCAGGGCTCAAGGTGCGGCGGAGGGGGGATGCTGGGCGGAAGAGAGATCGCGGAGGGCGGAAGGGGGGAGTCCGCGGACAGACCATATAAGGTTTCCCAGGTCTGGCGCGGGGGGGAAGTGGGGGTGGGAAAGGAAATGGGATAGGCGCGGAGAAACGGGGAATCGGAGAAGGGCAAGAGGGCGGGAAGGGAAGGGAGGGGGAAGCAGGGGGGGAAGAAGGAAGGGGGAGGAGAGGAGATGGGATACGGGAAGCGAGATAGGAGTGAACTAGATCTACGGGGTGCCTGGTGTGAGAGCGTGAGATACGGAGGTCGAGGAGGGGAGGGAATGCGCGAGAAAGGATTACAAGGATATGGGGAGCGGACGGGAGAGGGGGGAGAGGGGGAGGAAAGGGGTGAGGGGGGGGGGGGGTTGGGAAAGGAGGGAGGGGGAAAGAGACGACTTTGAGGCTCACCCGTAGAAGCGACGTGGCGTACTCAAAATTCATGCGCATCTGAACAGCAAGCTCACCCGTAGTAGCGACATGGAGTGTTCTAGACCACCGCCCGGGAGAGACATGCCGGAGATGAACTCCGCCTGTGCGAGCATCACAGCCGTCGGATGATCCCCCGCGGGCCATCGTACGTCCGAGATGATCGCAACGACGGCAACCGCCGCGAGGAACGGCGCGCCGAGCCGCGTGAACCGCGGATGATGCCGTCGGGGGGAGCAGTGTGAGTCTGTACTAATGCTTTTGAGAAGCGTGGGCCACGGAAACTGCTGCCGCTGCTGAGGTGGCGGCGGCGGCGGCGGCGGGAAACGGCGAGAGTCCATGGGTTGGCCTGCCTTGGCTGTTCTTTCATACAGCTCGCATCAACGATCTCAGATAGGGCCTAATAACGTAACGAACAAAAGAAAAACGTAACGGCCTAGAGTAATGAAGCAAACTAGAAGAAGGAAACCATGGACAATGTCGTTATCCTCATGGTTTCCTAACTACGACATAGTTGTCGCATGGCGGCAGAGAAAGATGTTTGGGGAAATGAAGAAAAAGAGACTTCCTTGTCGTTCGCCCACTTCGTCGCTTGTGGCCTCTGAGTCGTGAATGACCCTGTCGCATCATCGTTCGCGTCGCATCAAAGATAAGCGTTGAGTTGCTTTGTAACGAGCCACATTCAGAGGTCAAAGCAGTCAAAGTCTCGCTACATTCAGCGTATTTACAAGATCCGAACATTGGGGTTTGACACAAAACTGTTGATATCATTATAACAGATAAGGTAGCACTCAGATGGAGCACACAATTACTTCCCTCATAATATATATATATACAATATCAGATTAGCAATATACCTGGGCCATTCTTCCTTGGCTGTATCTTTCCACCAACAGCTCTCCTCACATTTCATAGAAACCCTCCAATTTTCCCCTCAAGCATCCACGGCTATTCCTGGTGTCAATCGCCCATGAAGTGAGAAAGGGGCTGTTCAAGACCAAGTGCAATAAAATTAGGAGAGTACTTCTACTGAACAAAGAGGACACACGGCACATCCAAAAGGTGTAGCGAGTGGCAGAAGATTTGCCTCTCAGAGCCCAGGACAGCAGCACAGCTCAAAATGCAACACAAGGGTATTGATGGTATTGAGACTACCGTATGTATTTCCCTACAGATTGGTTCAGACGTCCCTTCAATCACTGGAAACCGGGGAGTCCGAAGATGCTGTCTTTGCTGCGACTCGCGGAACATCAATGCTGCAGGAGCCGGAGAAAGCCGCACTTGGACCAACCGAGCTTGGTCCTCCAATGTTCGAGCTGCACCGCCGATAAGGCTTGCATTCCGCGCGAGTCTTGGTCTTTCCTGACGCGCATCTTGTGTTAAGCTGCCGTGGAGAAGCACGTTTGAGAATTCTCAAAACGCGCTCAAAATCTGCGCAAGTGTGGAAAGCTCCAGTTGTGACAGGCGCTTTACCGTGGCTGAAGCGCCGCTTTATCAGTCTCACTGGCTCCCAGCCCCAGCGCGATGTGCTGTTAGCCGAAACAACAAGCAGCCGCAGCAGCATCAGCGGCGGCAACGGCGGCGGCGGCGTCCGCCGCGGTCGTGGGATGGTCAGTGGCACTCCACCACTCGAACCGAGTCCGAGACCCCCATGCAAAGATCATCCGGCGTCGCGAATTCGTCCACGAGCCGCCCGTTGAACCACAGCTGCACCGACGCGCGTTCCGTGCTGCGCCGCTGGCAGTAGAGGTCGAGAAGGAACGCCAAGCGCGCCGAGCGACGCATCTTGAACAGCTGCTCCGCGCCGCCGTCGCTCAGGAGTCGCACGGACACGTGCGTGGACAGATTCGACGCGGAAAGTGAGATTGGGCGTGCCGAGTGCTCGTCATTAACGTTCATCAGACTTCGACTCGAAGTAATGAAGGCGGAGTCACGGACGCGGGGAAGCTCCGTACTAGGAGCGGGAACGGTCGGGTCTTGGAACGGCTGAAAGGGGATGCCCATGTTGGGAAAGGAGGCGAGAATGAGTAGTTCAAGAAAGCGTGCTAAGGAGTGTGGAACAGGTGAACTTTTTGGACTGGGAAAAGGTTTTGAGGACTCTCAAGTCTTCAAGGTGAAAGTCAGAGAAGTGAGGGGCGATTTGTGTTCCCTGAACTTCGTGGAGTCGGGACTTATGTGCTCACTCAACCATACAACGGCATAGGGTTACTGGCGAGATGCTGATGCATCGCATGTACGACCTTATCTTCGCTAAACCTTGCCAAGCCCGAATCGCCCTTTCCAGTTCTTCGTCCCATGCGGGATGGGCATCGCGTTTTCGAAGCTTCGAGCTGTGCGACATTGGCCCTCGCTAGTGGAGGTCGTTCGTTGATGGTCTGGGATTCATCTTCTTGCCAATAGAAGCCGCGAACGAAATCAGTCTAGAAACATGAGCACCAATCGGAACAGTCCTTTCATCTAGAACATGGTCGTGTCCAATTCGCCGAATCGCGGCCAGTCTCGCATGTTCCATGATTTGAGGCTGGTAAGGATCTGAAACCTTGACAGCGAATTAGAAACCGTCATGTGGTAAAGCAGACACGCTTTTAGAACTGGCTGATGCCACGCAGGATCCAGCAAGTGCGAGAAACCTTGATACAAGCTGCCCAATATGCATGTAGTTAATGATAACATGAACACTACCCAAGGAAAACATGCTGCTTACTGTCATAATTTCACCTTACTAGGAATTCCAACCAAAGTGGCTTAAAAAGTATATCTTGAAACCACAAGGTTACTGTCTTTGTAGTACCCCGAACGCCACAAAGGCCAGCTATGATGTGAAGTATTACCATCAGCACCATGTCATGAAGATGACGCTGCATTGGGCTCAGAAGGGAGTGCCCTGAGAACTGGGAACGCTATCACGTCCCGAATGCTGGGGCTGTCAGTCAGAAACATCACCAGGCGATCAATGCCAATGCCCTGAACACATCATGGCAGGGAAGCAACACATGATCAAGAGCCATGCAGGAACATTAGTAGAGGAAACACATCAACTTCCGGGGTTCAAAGAACGAGAGGAAGTAAAGATGAGTGTGGTACAGAGTGGGACAACAAATGTCACGACAATGGGGTGAGCTAACGGCGCCCCATCACACCACTCGCCTAGTCAAGACTATGCCTTGCCGAATCTCTTGACCATGCACACCTGCTCACAGCAAGAAGCGGACCCAACAAGCCTCACCTGAAAAGGAAAATGCACTGCTAACAAGTCCACACTTGGAACAAAACTGCACGTGAAATGAAGCTGCACTGCACTGCACTCACCATGCCGGCGGTGGGGGGCATGCCGTACTCCAGCGCCGTGAGAAATTCCTCATCCAGCCGCACCTCATACGCCTCCTCACCTTTTGAGTCGACTCAAAACTCAACTGCACGTGAAACGGAGCTGCACTGCACTCACCATGCCGGCTGTCGGTGGCATGCCATACTCCAGCGCCGTAAGAAAGTCCTCATCCAGCCGCACCTCATACGCCTCCTCATCCTCCTCCTCCTCTTCCGTTGCCCCCTTGCCCTTCGCCCCTTGCTCCTGCTTGTCACCAGCACCAGCAGCTGCTGCTGCAGCAGCGGATTCGGCTCTGGCCAGCTTGCCTGCATGTTTTTTCACTTGCTCCTCCAAGCGAGACCTCTGCGCGCGCGCGTGTGTGTGTGTGCGTGCGTGCGTGCATGCATGTGGGGAGAGAGAAAGCAGAAAACGAAGAACCCGAAAATGAGGAATGTGCTCTGGGGAAAATCTCAAGAATCTTATACACACGAGGGCAGAGGGCTCAAGGACAGAGGGCTCAAGGGCAAAGGGCTCAAGGGCAGAGGGCTCACATGTCTCCCTCTCTCGCTCTCACTCCCGCTTGGCCCAAATGCAACTTATGTGAGGCAAATACAACCTGGCTCAATGTGCCGCAACCCCAGAGAGCTAAGGACACCCCCCCAACATCGCCACACTCACCTGGTCCAGCGGGTCCGTGAGTTCGGAGAAGGCATTGGCGAGCTCTCGGCCGTACACAAAGAGCTCAAAGCGCTCTGTCAACCCAGGCCGGCTGACAGGGAATCGGGGGGCATAGTAACGGTTGCAGGAGGGTAGGGAACAAGATACAACTGTGAGGAGCCTTTTGAGGTAAGGTAATATCAAACTGCTCTGTCAAACCCAGGCCGGCGGACAGGGAACCGGGGAGAACAGTGGGGCTTCCCAAGGAAGTTGGGAAGAAGAGAATGGAGGGACTCATAAATCGAATCGTTCCGTCGACCCACGGTAGCTGAGAGGGAATCAGGAACCACAGCGGGTTCGGAATTGCAAGGGGCTTGGGAAGAAAAAAACAAACTGAAAGGGCTTTTCAGACAGGTCAGCTGGGTTATGGCAGTGAAAACGGGATTCCGAAGAAGAAAAGAAACAGGGAGAGGATCGGTAGGGGCAGGGTTGATGGGAGGGGAGCGACGATTGCAATGACGAGAGTGAGGCACGGATGTCAACCCTGGTGCATTGCATTGCGAACGTCGAAATGTGGAGAATTTTCCAGACGATCGAGTGCGGCCCTCGTTTCTTGAGAAGACTTTTGAGTCGACTCAAAAGTCACCTCGAGATGTTTCCAGAGGATCGTGTGCGTGTGGCCCTCGTTTCCTGAGAATCCTCGAAAAACGCTTGCCGTAGCCCTTGCTCACCTCCTGTGGGGCTTCGCGAGGGGTGAGACCTCGACAGGGTGATCCATAACAAACGTGGGCTGCACCAATGTGCTCTCCACCACGGCCTCAAACACACAGTTGAGCACTGCCCCCACACTCCCCGCCTCCTCAATCTTGCGCACCGCTGCTGCCACCGCCTTGCGATTCACCTTGCTGCTGCTTCTGATGCTTGCAGCCCCATCACCATCACCAGCAGCATCGGTCCCATTCACACCCCCTGCACTCCCCGCACTCGACCCGGCCTCCCTGACAGCGCGAACAGCCGCCTCCTTAGCCGCAGCAAGGTCCCCTGCAAGCTCAGCAGACAGAAAGTCGACCCCAGTGGCGTGCAGAACGAGCGAGTCCATGGAAGCGCGGCGCCAGGGGCGCGCCCAGTGGATGGGCGTGCCCTGGTAGGGCACCGTGGTGGTGCCATGGAGGGCTGTCACTGCGCTCTCAACCATTGCTTCGCACAGCGCCATCATGTCACTGTAATCCGCGTAGCTCTGGTACAGCTGTGGGAGGGGGAGGTGAGGTAAAGGGGAGAGGGGCCTAGGAGGTGAAGCGGAGGAGGAGGCTGGGGGAAGGGGAGAGGGGGATGGGGCGAAGCAGAGTGACGAGGAAGACAGGCAACTGGGGGAGTGTTGGGGCGACTGGGGGAGTGTTGAGGAAGCAAGTGTACCTTGATGGAGGTGAACTCAGGGTTGTGGCGTTCTTGTGACATAATTTCTCAGCGCAAATGCAGAACTACTAAAGGTAGACAGTAAAACCCTCCTCTACTACTTAAAGCAAAAAAATCCGAGCTCCAGAACTTCAGTAGTAGAGTAAAACAAGCATGTTTCGGCCGTTAAGGGGTGACCCTAGCAGGCCTTCATCAGTGGGAATGCGAAAGCAAGTGTACCTCAATGGAGGTGAACTCGGGGTTGTGGCGTGTGGATATGCCCTCGTTGCGGAATATGCGGCCTATCTCGTACACCCTGTCAAATCCCCCCACCTGCATGTACCCAGGCAGAGCGAGGCAGAGAGCGAGGCAGAGGGCAAGGCAGAGGGCGAGGCAGAGGGCGAGGCAGAGGGCGAGGCAGAGGGCGAGGCAGAGGGCGAGGCAGAGGGCGAGGCAGAGGGCGAGGCAGAGGGCGAGGCAGAGGGCGAGGCAGCAGAGAGAGAGGGATGAGCAAGCCAAGAAAGAGGCACCAAGGAGCAGACCAGAATCTGCCCTCGTCGCGGAATATGCAGCCTATCTCATTCACCCTGTCAAAGCCCCCCACCTGCACGCACTCAGGCAGAGGCAGGCATATGCAGAGATGGAGGCATCGGCATCCAGTCCAGGGAGTAGGTGTGTGTTGCCAGCGTTCAGACCAGGACGAGCCATCAGCAGCAGCAGCAGAGGACGACACAGCACACAGCCCAGAGCAAAGCAGGAGCTTGCTCCACTCAACCCACCAGCATGCGCTTGAGGTGCAGCTCTGTGGCGATGCGAAGGAACATGTCCTGGCGCAGCCTAGCACAGGTCAGCACTGCACCGCTGAGCACTGCACAGCACCGCACTACACCCACTCACCACGAGCTTCAACCCACCAGCATGCGCTTGAGGTGCAGCTCTGTGGCGATGCGAAGAAACATGTCCTGTTGCAGGGCGTTGTGGTGCGTTATGAATGGCCTCGCCTCCGCTCCCCCCGCCTCGCCCTGCCTTGGGATCACGCGCAGGGGAGGGGAGGGGAGAGAGGAGAGGGGAGGGGAGGGGAGGGGAGAGAGGAGAGGGGAGGGGAGGGGAGGGGAGAGAGGAGAGGGGAGGGGAGGGGAGGGGAGGGGGAGAGGGAAGGCAGGGGGAAGGCTGAGAGAGGTTGTGGTGGAGTATACATGTGCAAGTTGAATTGATGTACTGATTTATACATGCATGGGTGTACGCACACACAGACACACTTCCCCTTTCCCCCTTCCCCTCCTCTGACCCCACACACTCACAAGGTTGCACAGCAGGGGCGGAATGTACGCACCTGCAGCACGGGCGTCTCGATCTCAACGAAGCAGTTGTCTTCCATGTGCTGTCGAATGGCCTTGATCACCTGTGGCCATGCAGAGCAGGGTTGGGGCGCACAGGAGCAAGAACAGAGTGGGTGTTTGAGTGTTTGGGGAGAGGGAGTTTGAGTCGACTCTATTATTCTTCACGTGCTGCCGAATGGCCTTGATCACCTGTGGCCATGCAGAGCACACGCAGCAGCACATGCCATGCAGTGCAGCGGACTTGCAGCAGATGCAAGGCCGGACACACAGGATCAAGAACAGGGGGTGTGAGTCAAAGGGCGGTTGAGTCAACTCTAGAGAGAAGGATTGCCCTCATCCGCTGCTGAATGGTCCTTGCCCTCAGAGTGGGATTGACCATACTGGTCAAAGCATACGCCAGAGTGGGATTGCCCACTGCTGGCTCTAAATCGGCGAAAAATCAACCTCATTACACACGATGTTTCTACTTTTAATGAATCCGAGTAAACTGGGAAGGCATCGCATCTCACCTTGGCCCTCGCTCTGAAGACGGACGCCACAGAGGGGTTGACGATCATGTCCAGATACCTGCACACAGCACAGCACAGCGAAATGGGAGTTGGGTTAGGTTGGGATTTGGTGGTTAAACGAATCCCTAAAGAACCCCAACCTCCCTCCCCCCATCCATCGCCCTTTACACCCGCCCAACCCCACACAGCTCTGGAGGTAGCGGATTTCCACGTCTGCTAGCCCGTGCCACTTGGCTTGGTGGCCAGAACAGACGAACCCTTTGAGACACTGTCCCCTCCCCTCCCCACAGCACCCCCCAGCACCCCTCTCCCCCCACGCACCTTTGGCGGTAGCGAATCTCCACATCTGCCAGCCCGTGCCACTTGTCAGGCAGAGGCAGCAGCGACTTGGTCAGCAGCTGCACGCCCTGCACCACCACGCTCAACTCCCCTGCACCGCACACACGCACACACACCACACCACACCACACAAACACACATTCAGACGGCACAGCGTCATGTCGTGCAGCAAGGAGGGGGAAAGGAGCACGACGTGAATCTACGAACAAGCAGGGCGGGTCAAGATCAAGGCTCGGGTTCAGTGGATTCACGTCAAGGTTGTGGGGGAGAAAGGGTTGGGTTCAGTTGGGAGAGGCAAGCACATCAGAAAAGAAAACGGCTCGAAGTGAACTTAGACCGTCTCGAAAACTCAACATGACTGCACGGATGCAGACGCGTGGGGGTCCAGGTCCGGGTCAACAAACAAATGCTTGTTCCCTTAAACCACCTCCTTCCGTCCCACTTGTTTGTGAGTCCCACCTCGCTCGGTGCGCTTGATGGTGCCAGTGGCCCCCACAATGTCCCCCACGTCCAGAGTGCTCTTGAGTCCGCGGTTGAGGCGACTAACAACCAGACACCGCTCCCTATCACTCAGTCTCACCTCGTTCGGTTCTCTTGATGGTGCCGGTGGCCCCCACGATGTCCCCCACGTCCAGGATGCTCTTGAGGAACGCGAACGATCCCTCTTCTGCGTCCTCCATCACTGCCTTCTCACAGTATAGCTGCATTCGGGGTATGGGGGAGGAGTATAGTGAGGTATAACGAGGTACAGTGCAGTGGCCCCCACGAACGACCTTTCTGCATAAGGGGCCCTCCATTGTTGCTTCCTCACAGTACAAGGTGGAAGGGGTGCGCACGGGGTACGAGGGGGGGTACCGCGAGGTGCAGTAAGGTACAGTGAGGTGCCGCAAGGCGCAGCGAGGCGAGGCAGTGATTGAGGCGCTTCAAGAAGGGACTTCTCCGCGTCCTCCATCAATGCTTCATTCATTGCAGTACAGCTGCGGGCGGGAGTGGTGTGCGGGGGGGTACGTGGGAGGAGTACAGTGAGGTGCAGCGAGGTACAGTGAGGCAGTTTTTGAGGCGCCTCAAGAACAGACTCCTCCGCACCCTCTGGAGATTCGGCTAGAAGAGTGGCGCGGAGGGTACAGGGAAGAAGGAGGAGGAGAAAGAGAGGCCACTGTGATGCGGACGGTGCAGGGAAGAAGGGGAAGGGGAGAAATTGAAGAGCTGTCCAGCAGTAACAAGTCCTTGTAGCTGAATGCTCGTCTCTTCGTCTTTCAGCGTCAGGAACGCCAGCTTCCCCATCACCCTCCGCGCCACCACACCACGCGCCCATCCACTTTTTGAGACGTCTCAGAAATCGTCCCCCTACCTGGATGCTCGTCTCCTCGTCTCTCAGCGTGAGAAACGCCAGCTTCCCCATCACTCTTCGCGCCACCACGCGCCCCGCCACCGCCACCACCTCCCCGCCCTCCGCCTGCTCCCCGCTCCCCAGCCCCCTGAAGCGCTCCTGTAGCTCCGCCGCCCTGTGCGTGCGCGAGAAGGTGTACGCGAAGGGGTTGCGCCCCTCCGCGCGCAAGGCCTCCACCTGAGGGCGCGCGGGGGGGGGACGGGGGAAGAAGGGGGGGCGGAGGAGTGGCGGGTTTGGGGAGTGAAGGGGTATGTCATGCGCCAGGCGGGGAGGAAGGGAATGAAGGGAGTAGCGGATGGGGTCGGTTGGGATGGTGGGGGGGAGGTTGCGCGGTGTGGCTGGGGAGAAGGAGGAGGCGATACGGAGAATAGGGGGAAGAAGAGGGTGTCAAGGTGTGTGGAGGGGTGTGGAGGAGCTGAAGAAGTGGATGGAGTGAGATCGTTAGGCTAGCGTGCCGTGAAAGGCTCTGATAATTTATCAAGTAAGCCGGAAATCATCTAGTAGCTTATCGCGTTTCAGGGTTTAAGCCTGAAGAATCAGCTTCGTATCAAGTCAGCACCCTACCTTAGCTACGCGCAGTCCACGGACCGCCTCCTTAGATGAGAAATTCTCGCCGTCGCCTTTCTGACCCTTGCCCCCTCCCTTCCCTTTCCCCTGCTGCTGCTGTTGTGGTTGCTTCTGCTTCTTTTGCTTCTGTTTCTGCTGCTGCTGCTGCTGCTGCTGCTGCTTCACCTCCATGCTTGCCTCCTGCTGTGCCTGTGACTGCTTCTGCTCCTGAGCAGGCTCGGCTTGTGCCACGGCAACCGCAACGGACGGCTCAGATGCACCATCACCCTCAGCAGCAGCAGAACTCGCGGAGCATAGCACCCGCGATTTCTGCTGACCCCAGACGCGGCTCAACGATGCCGGCATGGGTGCTACGACGCGGATCGCTGGCGTCGTCACAAGCGACGAGCGGTTTCGCGAATGTGGTAACAATGCAAGAGGTGCAACAGACGAGCAAGCTAACGATCGGGCGTCCATTGCATTGAGTCTCGGAGAGACAAGGGCCCCGCTAAAAGGCGGAGTGCAGGAACGGGTTACGGCAGGCGTAAGAGGCAGCATTGTCTCGGAAGACCCTGCTTCTCCTCCTACGGCGGAAATGCACGAGCAGGCAGCGGCGGGAGCCCGCAGAAGAAAGCGGCGAGGCAGGAAGAAGATGCGAACAGCAGATTGACAGGTGGAAAGAGCACCGCTGACTGCGATCATCCCTGTGAAACGGGAAACAAGTAGCAGAATTGTTGATAGGCTGCAAACCTGCGTGGTTATGGTTTTATCTCTTTGGAACGAAGGACAGTCGAACACATCTGTGCTTAGTTTAATTTTTTTTCGGTGTACTACATTTCAATGCACAGCTTTCACAAATTTGACCAACAATAGTTGATTTAGCCAGACGGAAAACAAAGTCCTTCACTAGTACACGATGCAGTTGATCGTGGGAAATGCGATAACGGGTTGCCTCCTGTTGGGTTTATGATAGAACATTCGTACATGTAAAATGATTATCAACCAACAGACCCAGATATACACATTAGCCCTTCACCCTCATGGCATCACAACGAACCACCAGACCCTTCACATCACCACACCGTTCACAGTTCACAAGACTAAGTTGGCCAGCGTCAGAAGCGATTGTACAGGTCAAGGTGCTACCCATATACCAGTAAGCGATAGTGGTCTTACGGAAGGGCTGGATCGAGATGCGGCTGGTTGACAAATGCCACCTAGATGGGCAGGGACACAGCTAACAACATGAGGACTGGACAGGCTTCTCCTCCTGAGGAGCGTTGATGTTGATGGTCTGGCCTTTCCCTGGACCAGCGTAGTTATCTTCATCGGGTGCCAACGCCTTCTTGTTCATCATCCAATAGATCTCGGTCAAAATCTGAGTAAAGGCGTCCTCGACGTTGGTGGCATCGAGGGCTGATGTCTCAATAAAGAAGAAGCCCTCCTTCTCTGCAGAGGAATGAGAAAGCTGTCAGACTATGTCATACGCTGCAAACCGAAGGCGACCAGCTTCCAAACGTACCTGCGAATGCCTGGCCCTTCTCCAAAGAAACCTTTCGCAAATGCCGCAGATCACATTTGTTTCCGACCAAAGTGATAATGATGCTCTGGTCGCCATGATCGCGGAGCTCTTTCAGCCAGCGCTCCACATTGTCAAAAGTCACTTGCCTCGTAATGTCGTACACCAAAAGAGCTCCAACCGCACCACGATAATACGCACTCGTAATGGCTCTGTAACGCTCTTGACCAGCCATATCCCAGATCTGGGCCTTCACAGTCTTCCCGTCAACCTGATAAAGGGTGTCAATAAAGGAGGTAAGAATTGAGCGGATAGCACTTTTCATAGACGAACAAAAGACCTACAAGTCAAGCACCTCAATGCTTCTTGTGGCGAACTCCACACCGATAGTTGACTTCGACTCCATGTTGAATTCATTTCTGGTGAACCGCGAAATCAGGTTAGATTTTCCAACGCCAGAGTCGCCGACCAGGACAACCTTGAAAAGGTAGTCATAGTCGTCATCGGCCTTGTTGCTCTTCATGGCGGCAAGATCTGGCAAGGAAGACCGAGAAGGGTCAAATTAGCGGAGCGAGAGCGCTGGGACCTGAAAACCAGAAGTGAGTTGAGGTGCTCTTGACGTCTTTCTGGAAGTCTGCAAGGTAGACACATCAACAACAGCACTGGTTGGTTGCTGCAGCCAGGATCTGGGGGGAAAACACGCAACCAAACCAGATGGCCAGTGGACAAAATTTACCGAATGCTCGTTACAATCACTTCACTGCATTCACAGAATCAGTGCACCAATACGACATACTTGAATTGTAGGAAATAAAGTGTAATAGGAAGTGCATAACTGTGTCAGGTAAGTTCAAAGCAAATTCGCTAACTGGCTGATATTTTTTTGTTGGATTAGTCAATACCATGTTTACGCATATACAGTCACGTTCAGTTGGCTATACAGGCACACCTTCAATTGTTATCAAACAGCAGTTCCTTCCTACAGCTGCCAGATAAAGCAGAGTGGGAGCTATGAGCTGACGTGCATGCAAACTAGTAAACATGAGAAGGATTTTTTAAGAACCCCTCCGCCAAACAGTTCTGGTGATCACACTACAATATAGAAATTAACATTGCAGCCACCAGCCAACAGTTCACGCAGCTTCATTGAGCATCTGTTACAGCCTTTGTTGTACTGATGTAAAGAACTGCATGAAGGAAACAGAGACAAACGACATGCAAGCTAAGATATGATGAGCAAGACAACAAGATCCTAGCAGCTGCAAGTCATGGCCAAAAATGAGAGGCCGGCAGGCTCACCGTTATTTCCTCGGATGAAGGCGTCGCCATACTTGTTCTTCAACTGTCCATTCACATACTCTTCCGTCTGCTCCATGGCAATGTTCATGTAGCCATCCAAACAGGCAAGAATTCCTGCAAGGAGTGATTGCGATAAAGGGCAAAATGAATGCGACGGATAAGTGGCTAGACTTTCGAAAGACTCTAAGCCGAACACACCCGTCGGAAACGAATTTATACAGGAAATAAGACAGGTGTGCCATCAAGCGATCACCGCGGGAGGGGATGAGATTGGGGAAAAAGGTATAGGGAGGGGATCGCAAACGCCTATACCCTTGACGACGAGAGGCAGAGTTGCGAGAAGCGCAATTGAAGGTCGCCAAGTAAGTGACCAACCGATACATGCCATGATACGGTACTTGCATACCCATGACCCCAGCATGGCGTCAGGCGAACAGTCATGTGCTTCTCACCTCTATAATCGACGCCAGAGTTAAGTTTCACAACGACTGGTCGACCGCGAATGGCTTTCAGAAAGTCAGTCGGTGTTTTCGCTGTGGTGCTCATCCTGCGAACTAGAAATGAAGCTGGAATGGAAAGCACTCTGATTTCTGGACCATTAGGGTCGAGCAAATCGAAGGTTCACAGGAGCAGGGAGGGATGATTCTACATCAGAAAATGGCCACTCAGAAAAATACAACTCAATAGAACGGAGGTAGCTCATATCGTGACATTTCTTGTGTGTACACAATTGTTCATATATTCATAAAATGCTTCCAGACTTAAAACAGCGGTACCGTATACATTTGGCAGGGGAAAGGCCAAATTTTATAAAAGGTGCATGGTGGTAACCAAATTACAGGGACTCTCGACTTCTCACACAGCGACGATCCTAAACCAACCCCTCTCACCTGACACACTCGTCAAAAGTTTATACCTAGTCAAAAGTATACTGAAGCACACGCCTCCTCGCCACTTCTCCCCACCCACATAGCATCACGGAAAAATGTTTCCAAAAGCCATTGCGATTATTGCGCTTGTTACGAATAGTAATGAACATGTTGAGAATATGTTTGTATGCTTTTATTATAAGTGCACTGTTCGAAGTGTGCTTACAGGGGCTCGCCACAGCGAGGGATTTGAACCTGGTGGCGAGTCAACGGGCCGCAACCGAACACAGCGGTTGCGACCCGCGTGGCAGCTCAAGAGTCGAATCGACAGCAGGAGTCATCGTCTACAGTACGCGAAACTGACCTGTGGGGCGCGGCAGGATACCGCGCCCTTGCCGAAGCTGAAAAGTCTCGCCAGCGCGACTGTAACAGGGCAACCCAGACGACGCAGCGCAGCTGTTATACAGTTGCGCCTTGGTAACTGTTTGCCCTATGCGTTTGCTATATAACAGAATGTAATGCCTTGCTCATATTACACAATTCTCAAGCGTGTGTCCGGCCTACCCTCGGCCGCTGCTTTGGCACCACGTTACAAGCCAGGAGAGCTACCTCTGAGTGACCAATAGCCCCGCCGTAGGGACGTCGTTAATTCCTAGAGCTTCCGCTGCGCTCTATCGACTTCTTATTTCCAACAGAACAAAGGTTAGAGTGCACTACCGACCGCAGCTAAAGAAGCACGCAGTATCGAGAACAAATGTGAAGAGTCAGAGTTGACTCGAAACGTCAGACGGTTGGGATGCATCCGGACCGTCGGAAGCAGACGGCATTGGCAGCTGCAGGCAGGAGGGTTCTGGCGGGAACAGTTTCGTAACTGTACGCGCCGCACGGTTGGGAATGAATTCGAATAAGGGAATGTACACCTTAGAGTACATGGCTAGCTAGGTCGATTCATCTTCCCTGTACTCATATTTATATTTGCTGTATTTGCATGTTTTATTCACCTCAAGCATTTACATTCACTCTGCTATTGAGGTCCAGGGCCCACCACCACTACTAGACTAGAAGTGTGCGAACCCTCCTAAGGTGATCCTGGTTATGATCAACTTCTGATCGCAACATGGTATGAGAGCGACTCAGGAATCTTTCGCACTGCCACTCCCGAAAATTACGACATTCAGAAAGTGGCGTCCGGCACACGCTCGCATGTAAGAAAGGCCGAAGGATCTGGCGGTCAGACGAATCTGACGGCTGAAGCGCAACCCAATATGGCTGCAACAAGCGAGGGAACGACGACGATCGAAACCGAAGTCCTCGCACAACTGCTTCAGTGACTCACCAGCTTGGAGCAAGGGCTCCAAACATTGCGGAACGGCGACGCGGGAACATCCTCGCAACCTTCTCAACCAGCCCCAACCAGCCAGAACGCCGCCCCGCACACATTCTCCCTTGACACAAATGGTTCAACTCCCAAGACTTTCCGTCCCAGTGAAGAGGCAATTCTTTCTGCGCAATCAAGGTTTCTCAGCATATCAAAAATAAAGACGAGTACATGCTTTGACGGCAGAGATTTCTATACCTGGAGCTTCGAATTGGAACTCCTGCTGCAGAACGCCCAAATCTTTCATCATTTCGACGAGAGTTACACGGAGCCTGCCGAGGACACCGACGACGCCAAGGCAAGATACTACAACGAATCCCTGATGGCGTACGGGGTGCTCCTGCGGAACATGTCGCCGGCGGAACAATTGAGCATTCGCTCATACAAGACATCAGCCGCTCCAGCCCTCGACGCTTGGCGCCATCTCAATGGCGTGTATCAGCCGAAGGACTCAGTCTCTTCGAGCCGGCTGCTCCAGCAGCTACTGGAAACCAAAATGGCCCCAGGGGAGAAGGCCAACAGCTACATTAATCGCTGTCGGAGCCTTCGCGATCAAATCGCGAAGATGGGAAGTTCGATTCCGGAAGAAATTTTCGTAAATATCGTGCTTCAAGGGCTCGGCCCGGAGTGGCGGCCCTGCAAGGCGCTTCTCCAACAGCAGGGGGTCATCTCGAAGGCCGCCCTTTGCGCCGCCCTTCTCGTCGAACAACGGGATATGGACCAGCAGCGATCAGCGCCACAACGAGAACGAGAACGGCTCGCCTTCTACGCCGACAACAACGAAGAGCGAAGACCGCGGCGCCACTGCTGCAAGATCTGCAGAAACTTCGGGCATTTGGCGGATCGATGCAAGTCCTAATCTCGCCCTCGCCAGACCAATCCGAGCAACTCGTCCGGCCGACAAGACGCATGAGGCGACGTGCGTCCAGCCCAGGGGTATCAACCCCCACCCGCGCGCAACTTGAACCCAGCGGTTCAGCATCAGCAGCAGCAGCCGTCATCGACTGCCCCAGTACGCAATGTCATAAGCAACATGGCCATGACAGGCGAGTCGCGTCGTCGCCGCGTGCGCTCACCCTCACCTGAGCCAGCACCATACCCCATTGGCGCGTTCACCAACAACAACCCGTTCAGTCCGCGCCGTGACTTCACCGACGACGACGACCAGGACTGGAATCTTCCAGTCCCGCTGCTTGAAAGTCCTCCGCACGTACTTGATATGCGGGTGGCGCCACTCTACTGGCTCTCGCGCGAGCAATTTCTGAAGTCCGACACCCCGCACATCGTCACGCCGCGACTGGCGCTGCTCGCACGTGACGACAACAAGCGTTACAACACCTGGTACCTAGACAGCTGCTGCGGCCAGCATATGGTGGGCTCCGAGCGTTACATATCCAACGCCGTCGCCACACCCACAGTCACCTACGTCACCGTGGCCAACAACACACGCCTGCACGCAAGCGCGCAAGGCATCGTCGTGCTCAAGGCACGCGGAAGCCGCATGCACATCATGCTCAACGATGTGTTGATCGTCCAGAACCTACGCTTCAACTTGCTTTCCGCCGCACAGCTCGTGGACTGCGGCGTCGACCTCAGCACGGACCGCGAGACACGCGATATCCTGCTGCACTACAAATCACGACACTTCCCCTGCAGGCAGATCGGAAGAGCGCACTCCGAAAATGGAGTGTATGTCCTAGACTTCGACATTCCCGACTGCAGCGGCGATTCGCACGAGCTAATCGACCTCGTACCACTGCGCTTCGAGCATATCCACCGCAGGGATTGGAAGCACCCTGACGGCAGGCCGTGGGTACAGCATCATCCTCACCCACGCGAAACGGCGCTGCATGACCCTGACCCAGACGGGATTTGCAGGGATTGTCACACGCCGACGGCGTCGACTAGCGCCATCGCCGGCCGCGGACTCGCCGCCATCGCCGAAGCAGAGCGCCACGCGCCGCCGGAAGAAGGAATGTCGCTACTCGAACTTGAGGTCACCACGCACGCCGTGTTCGGCACGCCAGAACACCCTCTCATCGGACCCCCCTCCCAACACCTGCAAGGAATGCTGCGCGGTACTAGTGTTGGATCCTTTGATGCGCATGGCGAGCCGCGACCCTACACCCACGATAAATTTCTGAAAATCTACTCTCATCAACGCAACTCGTCGAAGAAACTTACCGTGAAGCAGGAAGAAGAACTGGCTGACAAGATTAAGAAGCTACCTAGGCTAGGAGAAAGCCTAGCCAAGGAGCATAGGCGAGGTAGAACGGGAGTAGTGAGAGAAAATGCAAGGCAAGAAAGTGATGCACTAATGAGAATTGTGAGTACAAATAGCAAACAGCAACACAAGGAGGTGCACCACCAAACATGATGCACTATCTACACTACACTGCAAACTATTATATAAAATATGTTAACATATTTTGACACGCCCCCATAATTGTTTGCAGGAGTAACTGTAAAACGCCCCCTGATGGGATACACCAGAAGTGCAGCGGAAGCATAAGTAGGCAAGAGCAGAAGTAGCCGGTGCAGAAATGGCAATTACAGCTGTAGCCAACCCTCAGCCAAGGCAGAAACAAAAAACAGGTGTAGGGGCGGCAGGTCGCCTGAGGAGCAGGCTCTGTGGCTGCAACGTGCAGCAGGACAGCAGCGGCTCGACGGCAGCACCTGCAGGCCCCAGCAGTAGGCAACAGAAGCCAAGGAAGCAAAGGTAGGTTGTGGCAGGGGCGGCAGCTGGAGGTGCCACGTCAGCACAGGGCGACAACAGTAGATGACCTGCTGACTTCCGCCTCCCTCTCACCCTTCCCCCACAGCGGCACGTGCGGCAGTGAGAGAAAGAGGAGGGGCGACAGCATGTTGCTCACACCCGCCACCCCAAACCCTCCCCCCACTGCTGCAGGCGCAGCAAGGAGAGAGAAGGGGCGGCGTGTGGCGACGTAGCGTTGTGGTGCAGTAGCAAACAGAGTGGCGACAGCCACCCTCGCGTCTCCCCTCCCCCCACTCCGCCACCTCCTCCCACAGCGGAAGCCGCGGCGTCGAGAAGCGAGGCGCCCGCGGCGACGAGAAGCGGGGCGCCCGCGACGACGGGAAGCGGAGCACCCGCAGTGACACGCAGCGGGGCTCCCGCGGCGACGGGAAGCGGGGTAGAAGGGCTCGCCTTCGCAGTCGTCGCGGGAGTCAGGCTGAGCGCCTTGACGAGCGCCTCGACGGGCGCGACGGGGAGCGCCATGGCTAGCGGTGGGCCCATTAATAAGAAATTGTCCGCAGGAACGAACAGCTCTGATAGCATG